TATTAATTGTTTCTTTTGCTGTGCAGAAGCTTTTTAGTTTGATATAATCAAATTTGTTTATTTGTGCTATGTAATTTGAAAGAAATTATTTTTAAAAAAAGTTTTTGCAGCATATTAGTACTTATTAGACAAATAATTACAATCTACCTTTTCAGTTAGCTGAGCATTCAAACCTTCAACATCTTCAGCTTTTACTACTCCCCAACGTCTTAGCCAAATTTATCTTTATTTTATTCTTAAGTATAACATGACACATTCTTGTTTTCTTCTATTTTATCTATAAAGCTGTACTCTCTTGTCTCCCTAAGTACTGCACTGGTGTCAAGGCCCAGCTTAGATCTCTGCTTAAGCACAGAGCCTTCCATTTATTGACTGTTTATACTATGCCAGGCACCTCAACCTCCTCTTCTAGTACTCCCTCCCTCCCATCGCACTTCAGCCATACTGACACCTTCCGTGCTGTTTCATCTCAGAGCCTGTGTGTTCACAGCTCCCTCTCCCAGAAACATTTTCCCCAGACAGCCACATGGCTGGCTTTCATGTCTCCTTCAAGTCTCTGGCCTCTCCTTCAACCTTGTGAGAGGCCCTTCTCTGACCGCCCTTCATAAAAGATCAGTCCCCTCAGCTCCCCTGCCCAGCACTCTCCCCTTTACCTTGCTTCATTTTTCTCCATCATACTCAGAACCTAACAGTTTGTACTTGTCTGTCTTTCCCTCTTCTAGAATATGAGCTCTATAAGGGCAGGGACTTTGTTATTGCTGTATCCCCACCTCTCAAAACTGTGTGATGCAGGATAGTGTCTCAAATATTTGGTGGATTCCTTGTTTACCAACTGCCGTCTCATGGTTTCTCCCTTCCTCAGTTCTTTGGCTAAAGCTTATTATCAGTCTTCTCTTTGAGAAGCCTTCATGTGTACTATAATCTGTGAGATCCTCACATGTTAGAAATGTGAACCTGCTGCCTTAATTCTGAGACTGTGTTTTAGCTAGATAATAACATGCATGTAATATTTAGCATATGATATTATGGGGTCATGCTTTTTCCCTTCCCTCAGAACTTTGTAGATATTGCTCTTTTGCCATTGAACAGTTGGTGACTAGCCTGATTTTCTCCCCTTTTGTTGACTTTCTTTTTATGTCTGGATGTCTGAAGAATTACATTTTGAAGTACAGAAGTTTAACTAAGCTATGTCTTAGTATAAGCATTCTGTGTATAATTCTCCCAGAACATGAGCTGCTCTTTTAATCTGCAGATGCAGTGCTTACCTTACTTCAGGAAAATTTTGTATCTTTGCACATGTCTGCTGTCCCGCTTATAGGGATCTCCGCTTCAGGAATACCAGTTAGCCTCATGTTGGATTATTTTTATTTTGGTTTTTGTCTCTTCTCTTTTTTTGTCTCTTCATCTTTTTTCACCATGATTAAATCCAGCCTTTATGTCCTTAATTTTATTTTCTGTGATATATGTTTCATTCCTTGCATTTCTAATGCATGTATCTGTCTCATTGTGGTGATATATTGCTATTCTCAGTTTATTTCTTTGGTCCTACTATCTTCTTTTCATGTTACAGGACTATTTATTATCTCATATTCAAGCTTTATTTTATTGAATATATGTTATTATCAATAAGTTCAGTAGAATGAATCAGTTGTGAAGAGTTTAAGAATTTTCTTCTGTTCCTTTTTTCTTATGGATTATGCTTTTTGTCTTTTGGTGTGCTCTTTTCTCTCTTTTTTTTTAATGTGTTTAGTCCGGTTAGTTGCGTTTTACTGCTTTGTGGGTTTTTCTTTGTCTGTACTTTGTTAACATGCTACATTGTGGCCATACCATTCCATTTGATCTTGGTCATACTTGGGTGACTCTCTACACATTTTACATTCATTCAGCCAGTATTTATTGAACGATTGTTATGTGCCAGGCACTGTTCTAAGTGCTGGATGCATAGCAATGAACAAAACAGAAAAGAATTCCTGCCCTCATGGAGCTCACATATGGTGGAGAGAGAGATCACAAACAAAATAAGTAATATATGTAATTAGTGCTAAAGAGAAAAATTAAGTAGGGAAGGGGGGTGGGTAGTGTCAGGGGGAAGAAAGAAGGATGTAATTTTAGATAGAGAGGTGAGGTTAGACCTCACTGAAAGGTTGACATTTGAGTGAAACTTGAAGGAATAGAGGGAGCAAGCATGTGGATATTCCGGGCAAGTACAAAGACCACGATGCAGCAGGATCATGCCTGGGCCTTTAAGCACTGGCAAAGGCCAGAGTGAGTGGTAACAGCTGGGAAGAGAGGCAGCAAAGGACCAGGTCACGTGGGGGTGCTACCCGTATGAGCTTTCCCTTTTACTGAGAGTAAGGGGAAGTCACAGGAAGGTTTCAAGTACAGTAGTGACTCGGTCTGACAGGATTTCACAGGATCACTCAGGCTGTTATGTTGAGAATAGGCTGTAGGGGGCGTGAGGGTACAAACAGGGAAACCAGTTGAAGGCAATTGCAGAATTAGGTGAAAGGCAATGATGAACCAGACAAAAGCAGTGGAAGTGGCAAGAGCAGTCAGATTCTGGGTGTGTGTGTGTGTTTGTTTTTGTTTTTAGTTTCTTTTTTTTTTTTTAAAGATGACTGGTAAGGGAATCTTAACCCTTGACTTGGTGTTGTCAGCACCATGCTCACCCAGTGAGCTAACCGGCCATCCCTATATGGGATCCGAGCCCGTGGCCTTGGTGTTATCAGGCACCGCCCTCTCCCGAGTGAGCCCCAAGCCGGCCCTTGTTTTTAGTTTCTATTGAATCAAAATTGATTATACATATTTTTGTGGTTCAACATTGAGATATGTTGACCAAATCTTTATTACTAGCGTATATATTGTTACAAATCATAATTATTCTTTATGCCCCTTGTCCAATCTCTCCCCATCCCCCTCTCACTCCCCCTCCCCCCTCTAATTACTCTAGATTCCCTCTTTCCTTCTGAAAGAATAATGGTTACTCTGTTGATTTGTTGCCTAGATGATCTATCCAATGCTGACAGGTGTGATCAGGTCCCCCAATATTATCATAGAGCAGATGCTTCTTCTGTCACTCTGGAATGGGCTTTGTGAAGAGAGACATCCTCTTCTTTTCTTTATCTCTGCTGGTGACTCTCCTTGTGCCAATGCATTCCAGTGGCTGGTGGACCTTCTGCTTGGTGGTTGTGGTATCCAGCTGCTTTCGCAGCAGCCGTGGTTATTGTGGTGGCTGTGGTGGGCCACCCACATGGAGGTAATATTCTTGGCATGCTCCTCTATGTTGGTGGTGTGCCTGATTGTGGGGAGCGTCCAGTCCCTGGCTCCATCCTCAGGTCTCCAAGTGGGCCCCAAGGTGCTGGTGCAGTGTGCCTGGTTGTGGGAAGGGGGTCCGGTCCCTGGATCCATGCTTTGTGTTTCCGGGTGGGCTCCCAGGCGCTGGCACCAGTGTGCCTGGTTGTGGGAGGGGGCTCCGGCCCTTGACTCCATGCCTTGGATTCTCGGGTGAGCGCCAAGGTGTTGGAGCTGTGTGCCTGGTTGTGGGAGGGGAGGGTCCAGTCTCCTTCTCCATGCCTCGGGTCCCCAGGCAGGCCCTGAGGCACTGGCTTGTGTGCCTGGTTGTGAGAGGGGAGTTCGGTCTCCTTCTCCATCCCTCAGGTCACTGGGCAGGCCCGGAGGTACTGGCATGGTGTGCCTGGTTGTGGGAGGGGGATCCAATCCCAGGCTCCAAGCCTTGTGTTCCCAGGAGGGCCCTGAGGTGCTG